GACTGGGACGAGGAGCCTGGGGTGCGGAAGAGACAGGACAGGAACAGGACTAAAGGAGTCAAACTTGGGGGGAAAGGGAAGAAGTCTCAGTACCCACTACAGCATATTTCTCTCCATAGTCTGGAATGGAACCCAAGATTCCCAAGTCTCATCATTCCTCTGCTGTCAGCAAATATCTGTTGAAACTGATTCAAAGTATGTCTCTCATCCCCCTCCAGTGCTGTGCCACACAGAGGATGCCAACCTACTATTGTTATTGATTACTCTGTTAGCTCAAGTAGCAGAAGTCCTTGTGGTGGATCTAAAGTTTTCAACCCTGCAGATGACCCACATGGGTGTCAATGTGATGCCACGTGATGGAATTGGTCTTTTTTGGTTTGCTTTTTTAAAAGCTAGGAAGTGACACATACACAAATTATGTTAAACAAACATCAGTAAGGGTTGCAAAGTTAAGCACTCAAAAGTTAGGAAATGGAGAATTAAGGTGGCCTGTGCAGACCTAGTTTGGCTCCCTTGAGCATATATATTATGATGCTACCTTTAATTACATGATCATATACTATTTGTTTCCACAGGACCCCAGCCTCACTCAGGGCACAAGATGGATACAACTCAATTAATCAGCAGTTATTCAATATTTCGTTTTCTCATTGTTTTGTGTGTCGCTCCATGCCTTGTTTACTGCACACTATTTAAACCCTGCTCTGAAGACAGAATTATTAATTTCCTCCTGGGCTTTCTATGGAGCTCACCCCTATACTATGTAAATACTTCACAAACAATTAATTTATTTCACCACACCCCTATGGGAAGAGGGGATGATAATATCCCCATCTTACGGATGGGAAAATAAGACAGAGATCAAGGTCAACATTTCTACTGATTTTGGGTGCCCAATTTTAGATAACTAGGACCTGATTTAGAGTACTTAGCATTATACAGGACTTTATATGTTCACAGTACACCTCTCACTGACTTCAGTTGCTGCTGTGAGTGCTTAGCACCTCTGCAAGTCAGACCCTGGAGTCTCAAGTCAGGCATTCAGAAAATGAGGAACTAATATTAGTGGTCATCTGTGAAAAGTTTGATTTAAGGGACTTGCCCAAAATCACACTGACTGTGGCCCATGACCTGCTGGGGATGTTTGTTGAAGGCTCCTTCACAGAGCCATAAACATGGACCTGTACCTGGCACAATTCACGAATTTCCCCAACACCTGTCCTTCCTGCAGTGTGGGGGAGACCCTAGCATATGTCTACATAGGGTATGTCAGGTTGCAGCCCCTCTTCCAGCTCATCCAGAACCTCTTACTGAGGTTCTGGCTGTACTTTCCCCTGTTCCTGGCACACCCCATCCATGGCCCCACAAAGCTGTGAGACCTTCCTGTCCTCCTTCTCCTGGCGCTGGCCAAGATGACCGTCCACGACTCCAGGAGGAAGAAGCTAGATGGGCAGGGGTGCTCTGTGACTTAGGACCTATATCTGTTCCCTTGTCCAGTCTCACCTTCAGGCAGAGTTCCCCCTTAGATGCCTCTGGATCCCTCGTTATTAACCTTTGACCTCACTCCTGCTCCTATTTTTTTCACTTTTTGCCCCCAGAAATCACTAGTAACCTGAGTTCAGTGGTTCTGCCCCTTTAGCTGAGAGGGCAAGCCTTTAGTTTTGGGCAATCCTACTCCTGCCCTTCCTGGTACTACTAATAGTACAGTGACTCTGTGGAAGAGGTAGGAATAGAATCCAATTCTCCAGGGCAGTATTCACTTGTCTTAACCACGAAACCATCATTTCTCCTCCTGCAATTCCTTGCCTCATTCACTACACATCTTCCAACTTCTGCAATAAACAAGGCAGGGTCCTATAGACCAGTGCTTCTCAAGCTATCTGATGTGGGGGACCGGCAATTTTTTTTTCCAATGTGCCAGGGACCGGTGCCATATTATTATCCTATTTGACGCTCGTATGGGGAAACTCGTCACTGACCAGCAGCCGATGGCTCGCGGACCGGCACCAGTCCGCGGACCACCACTTTGAGAAGCACTGCTATAGACAACAGCTGACTGTCTCCCCATATTCATCCGAGGAGCAGGTTCATCCTGTGCACTAAAAGAGGTGGAGTCTGGTGTAAAAAAAATAGTATCTGATCATTGTGACTGAATGCCGCCCTGCAGTCACACGCTACACACTACTGTAATAATCTGTGTACAAAATATGCCTGGTGAGGTATCATTTGAAAACTGGTAATACATTGATCAATATTTTTGTGTAATGTATGTATAAAATGCATATTAAGAGTTATGAACATAAGCTGAAATTATGACTGAAATGTGTTTACCAGACAAGTCTGGGGAGGGTGTAAACCTGTTTCTCAATCACAAAGGACAAGCCAATGCCTCTAGCCAGGTGTCAGCAAAGTTGATTGGCAATCACCGGTCAAGCTCTTTCACTCTCTATCCTCACGGTGGGAAGGCACTTTATCCCTCAGACAAATGCATTTCAAAGGTTGACTGGACTATGAAAGCGAGGGACAAAAACACACCAGATAGTCTCTTTCGCTTCCTATCTCTTTCACCTAAGACAACAGCCTTTGGACTTTGGGAGGAGTTCTGACCTGAGAATTTGGTCAGCCCTGTTGCTAGGAACATGTGGTAAGGATTTTACCTTGAACCAAGTCTAGTTTGTTAAGTTTTAGTTACTAGAAAGTGTTTCATCTTTCTCTTGTAACCATTTCTGACTTTAATACCTTATACTTGTACTCATTTAAAATCTACCTCTTTGTAATTAAACTTGATTTATTCTTTAATCAAAACTAATGCAGTGTTGTGTTTAAACTGAATTGTTTGGTGATGCCAATTAAAAGTACCAAACTGTTGTATACTGACCCTTTACAGAGGCAACAGACCTCTAATACCTGAACTATCGCAGAGAGAGCTGCACAGTGCAGAACACACCTTTTGGGGAAAATCCAGGACCGAGAGTGTGTTGGGGTCACCCTGAAAGTGGAAGCCAGAGCGTGACTGGAATGCTGATGGCAGGCTGCAACTATACACAGACACTCAGGCTGTGACCTGCATGCTGTTTTGCTGTTTGTGAGGGGTCCAGCTTGAAAACTACAGCAGCAAAGCATTGTAAGACACTACAGGGCAGGTGGTGACACAACCCCTCACTAATCTGGACTGTACCCCAGAATGTGATAATCATGTAATTGACGTCTCTATAATAATAAATATGCTCACAAGGAGGCCAAATTAAGCCTGTATAGGCAATTTTAAATCTGACCTTTTTAAACTTGAGAGTGCTGGACTTTGTTATCTTAAGCATTATTCTTTTAACATGGCTTTCTGTGTACAGTTTGATTTACTTAAAGAGGCTGTTAGACCTTAGAAGTGATGAAAACTACCATCTAAACCATCTTTTCCTAAGCCACAGGAATCAACTATGGATATCTAATGATGACACATGAAAGACAAAACAAGTTACAGTAAAAATTACATTCCATGAATTCGACAACAGGCCAGCACTGACACAGCCGGGACAGCAAAGATAATCTGGAGGGCAGCACAGCAGGCACTGAGGGTTCCTGTTATTGCCTCCTTGTATGAAACTCCTCAGAGGAAGAGGTGTGCTGGATCTCAAGTACCAGTAGGAGTAAAGCAAGCGGTTCTGCTGGCTTTGCAAATAAATGCCCTTTCCCAACACAGATTCCTGTGTGAAGCAAGCTGGAAGTGTTATTAGTAACACAGGTAAGGGAACTATTTTTAAAGTACTTTTAACCAGCTAGTGACTCACTCAAGGTCACATGAGAAGTCTGTGGTAGAACTGAGAACACAGGAGTCTTGGCACTTAAAAACCCCTTCTTCCAAATCTTGCTCCCTCGCCATTCTCTCGTTTTTACTATTTAAGCTTGTCTATTTCTTATTGCTGTGTCAAGTGTTCGACTCTTAAGACAGCATCATATCAACGCAAGCCAGTGTCTCATTTCCTGACACCAAAGCTTTTGCTGATGCCTCCCTTGTTGTCATCAACCCTGCAATTTGCCACCCCTTGCAGTGCTCTAACTCAGACTAATCTTCTTGTGGCAAGGACCATTTTATTTTTGCTAACGTGCCAGGCTCACCGGTGATGCTATTTGAATAAACACAGAACCAGACGATACCAAAGAGAGGGGGTAAGAGAAAAGTAGTCATTCACAGGGGGAAGGGGAGAGGTTTTCACTGGGGCAAGTGAATGTCATGGTTATAGTTAAGTCCTGTCCATACTATGGTAATCACCATGAACTTTTGACCACAGCATAATTAGGGAACCAGTGTAACCAACATATGGCTTCATTAGAAGTCTGTTGGGGTTACCTCTTCAAGAGGTCTTGGAGGAGAAATTCACATAACCCAAATTCTACTCCCTGGACTGCCACAGGGTAAATTCCCTTCTTCTAACATTTATAGACTGCTTCAGGACACAGACACTATGGATGAGGACCAGTTAGACATCTCCACTGGTGCAGCATCCACCACCACCACCACGATATATCACAATGTGAGATCAGCAGATGGATGAAGGGCTGCTGGCCCACCATCAGGCCAGGGAAAGGAGAAGAGATACAGATCTGTAGTTGGGGAGCGTGGGGGGAATGATGCCTTAGGGAACTTGCCAATGCCCTGCCCTCCCCATTGAGTAAGGTCCTCAGACACAGATCATGCAGGGACGAGGACCCTTTGGGGCCCCACTGGTGGGCAGCGCTTCCTTCCTTCCACCCACTGGCCAGGAATCTCGGCCCGGGCCCTCCAGCTCACTCGCCCCGCTCCGGCCCCTCAGCAGCGGGGCTGCGAAGCGAGTCCGTGGCCCCCGCCCCGGGGGTCACCGCCCTGCGCCGCATCTCCCGAGCCCGGCACGTTGGGAGTTGGTGCCCCAGAGACGCCTGGCCCGGGGCGCCCCGCCAAGGGGCTGGGGGCGGCCCTGCTTCGGGCGGCGGCCGCTCTGGGGCCGCGGCCTGCCCGGCCCCCTCACCTTCAGCACCCGGATGCCCCCGCGGCTCCCGGTCCGGCTTCCCCGGGCGCTGCCGGCTCCCGCCGCCTCCACGGGCCCCGGCCCGGCCCCAGCCTCCCCCATCAGCAGCGGCGCCGGGACAGCAGCGCCTCGCGCTCGCGCTCGCCGCCGCGGGATCCCAGCCGCGCCCACGGGCTCATTAGCATAACGGACCCCGCCCCGCCCCGCCCCCTGCCGGAGCAGGGACCGTTGGTCAGGCCCGGGCCTCTCAGCTCCACTGCAGCTTCTGCGGGGGGCAGGTTAGGGCACTGGGGGTGCCCACCCAGCGACAGAGCAGGGGGAAGAGGAGTGGGAGGGGGCCAAGCCAGGGGGGCGTGGACAGAGCAGGCAGGAGAGCAGGGGGGGGCTAGCTAGGGGGCAGGTCAGGGCATTGGGGGGTGCCTAGCTGGGGGGGGGGGGGGGG